GTCTAGGCTTTAGGTGTTGTTCTGGAAACAGGAATGGGGGAGTTCCTGGGAGGCAGACACAACAAAAGGAGACCTTTGCTGGAATGAGGCCTCGGGGAAGCTGCCCAGCTCAGTGCCTGCCACTCAGGGAGGAGAACTTGCTCCTGCCATGGCCTGGCCATTCTGGAAGGCTTGGGACCCTGTGTTTCCAAAGTGACTTGTACAAGAGCCGACAGAGCCATGCAGTTAGGTTTCTTTTGGTGTAGGTACAGGGTTAAAAAGAGTAAGACACACTTTGGGGGTAATTTCACCAGGACAACTACCCCAAATATTTTTTTATCACTAATGCCTTTTGAAGGCATTTTTCAAAAGGGTGATTTATCAGGTGGAGAGGGACTCTTAGAAGAATGGATTCTAGTGATAGGACTATTTGGGACCACAATCCATTGATGTCACTTCCCCACTGGGACAGTTCTTTTTCTTTTTCTCTCAATAGTGCTAGCTTTTATAATTGTCCATGTATTCACTTTAATAGAGATATTTATTTCTCCATAAGGCTTTGAGTTACTGTCCAGTATCCTTTCTTTCCAAACTGAAGAACTCCCTTCATGGAGGGCAGGTCTACTGGTAAAGAACTCTCTTGGCTTTGGTTTATCTCAGAATGTCTTAATTTTTCCCTCATTTTTGAAGGACAGTTTTGCCAGATATAAGATTCTTGGTTGACAGCTTTTCTCCTTCAATGCTTTGAATATACCAACCCATTGCCCTCTGCTGTCCAAGGTTTCTGATGAGAAATCTCATCATAATCTCACTGGCAAAAATATAAGGAACGCTATCTTCCTCTTGGCTTTATAGATGTTAATAATGAACCTTCCCATGTCTTACATGACAGACCATTTTCTTATAGTATCATGATATCAGTTAAGTTTTAGCATCATTTTAAAATCAATCAGAGTTCAAGGAAAAGGAATTAAATGTTTCAATGGTAGACACTATAAGGTTTTTAAAAGACAAAAATTATTACAGATTTTCAAATTATAAATGAAAAGGCTACTGAAGCATGCTACAGATATTAATTTCTAATAAAGTAAATATCAATTTTTAATATCCCACATGAACAAAAAGCTCTTTAAGATCCTTTTTTTTTTTTTTTTTCCCAGAGTAAAGGAGTCTTGAGACTAAAAAGTGAGAAAAACACTGTGGTTTATCCCCAGCTGTGATTGGTCCATTTCTTGCTCTGACCTCATAAAGCACCACTGTAATGGAATTACAAACAACTTCTATACAAGGCCCTGGCTGGGCTGTTCTTACAGTGCAGGAAGCTGATTTGTAGTGACCTGTTGGGCTTGGACCTCTTAGCTTGTTTTCCCCTTTATTTTATTTTTTCTCTTTTCTTTACTCTTATTTTCTTCTTCTCATTTTTAAAATTAAATTTATTGGGGTGACATTGGTTTGCAAAACCATACAGGTTTCAAGTGTACAACTCAATAAAACATCATCTGCACACTGCATCATGTGCCCATCACCCCAAGCAAAGTCTCTATCCATCCCCAGTCCCCATTCCCCTGCCCCCTTTGCCCACCTTCACCCCCTTTCCCTCTGGCTGTCAGCACACTGTGTCTGTGTCTATGTGTTATGCATATATATATTTTTTGTTAATCCCTTCACCTTTCTTTTTTTTAATTTTATTTTTGTTAATCCTCACCTGAAGATATTTTTCCTATTGATTTTTTTAAAAAGAAATATCTTTATTGATTTCAGAGAGAGGAAGGGAGAGGGAGAGACAGAGATAGAAACATCAATGATGAGAGAGTCACTGATCAGCTGCAGCCCTCAACCTGGGCATGTGCCCTGACCGGGAATCGATCCCCGATCTCCTGGATCCTAGGTCGATGCTCAAGTGCTGAGCCACACCCGGCCGGGCCCCATTGATTTTTAGAGAGTGTAGAACATCGACTGGTTGCCTCCCATACTTGCCTTGACCAGGGATCGAACCTGCAACCTAGGTATGTGCCCTGACCCAGGAATCAAACCTGCAACCTTTTGGTGTGTGGGACCACACTCCAGCCGACTGAGCCACCCAGCCAGGCCTTTCGTCTTCTCTCACCCAGCCCTAGCCCCCGCCCCTCTGAGATCTGTCCGTCTGCTTCAGGTACCCCTGCCTCTGCTGCTCTCTTTTCCTCATTATTTTTTTCAGTTCTTTTTCTTTTTCTTATTTTTCCTTGCTCTGTTTCCCATTTCTATTTATTCTTTTTGTCCTTTTGTTTTAAATGTCTCAATTTTTTGTTTTCTCATTTTTTTCTTTATTTTTTATTATTTTCTTTGTTTTCCCCCCATTTTTTTTCTTTAACATTTTTAGTTAGTATTTTTAGTTAGCATTATTAATAGTTAGTATATAGTTAGTATCATTGTATAGTTAGTAGAGTTAGCATAGTTAATATAGTTATTGTCTATTAGCATAATTAGTAAACATTAATATTAGTTAGCATAGTTAAGAGATGATGAATCTGGGGTTTGAGTGGGATCGGATCCAGGACTCATTAAGAAGCAAGAGGTTCAGCAGTGTGATGGCCATGCACCTCATCCTAAGCACCAAGAAACCCAAAGTGGAGTGCCAGGCCATCGTGGTAAGGCCCTTCTGTCCCCCTGACCCCAATAGCTGTAGTCCCTCCCCAACTTAGGAGGTTCAGCCAGAGTTCTCCAGGTTCATCCAGGCAGATCAGCAGCCTGAGGACCAGGAGGCAGGGCAGAAGGCCAAAGAGCCTGCCAGATCCCAGCCAGCCTGGAGTCCAGGACTGCCACCCCTAGCCCAGCCCTCATTGTGGCCCTGGGCACTCCACCTCACCCACAGCACCGGCAGTGGAACCCCAGAGGGAACCAGGCAAGGCTGGCAGGGGCTGGCTAGGAGGTTCTTGGACTTTATTTTGAAAAGGCTCTGCCTTAGGCCATCCAAGAAGGGGCATTGTAAATGGAAAAAGGTAGGGCTTATTTACTTATTTATTAAATATATCTTTATTGATTTCAGAGAGAGGAAGGGAGAGGGAGAGAGAGAGATAGAAACATCAATGATGAGAGAGTCATTGATGGCTGCAACCCGCAACCTGGGCGTGTGCCCTGACAGGGAATCGAACCCCGATCTCCTGGATCCTAGGTCAATGCTCAGCCGCTGAGCCATGCCTAGCTGGGCAAGTAGAGCTGATTTAAATTGTGGACAACCAGTGCAGGGCTACAACCAAAGACTCCAGGGAAGTCAAACCAGGCTCCTTGCATTTTTAATGCTGAACTCTAAGATTTTGAGCTCCAGGAAGCCCGGCCATGTGGCACAGGGAGATAGGTCAGAGGCGGGAGATAGGCCAGGTGGCAGTGCAAGAAGTACACACTGTGTATGCAAGGACCCCTTGCACACGAGTGAGAGAACTTGGTCCAGCAGACGATGGAGGCATGCAAATTGCTATGGCATTCTCTGCACAGGATTCACATCAGGAGGGTACCTGGCATCTCTGTGGCCTTCAGAAGCATTGTACCCAAAACACATAGTGATCTGGAGTATGGCCTGGAGCCCCGAGGGGGCAAGAGGAGAGACAGCCCTACTGCAGGCCCATCACTTGGCCCCCACCTGGGTGAAACTTCAGAGACTAGACTGCTTTCCCTGGGGCCCTTCTCCCCTCCCCTGCTCTTCTTTGATTACATGCTTGTGGAAGAGGGATGGTTTTTATTCAAGTACTTGGTTCTTCCACATCTTGTAGTAAACTGGATGCTTCAGAAAGATGTTTCCTGCGTACTCTTGCTTTACATCTTCCCCGCACAGAATTGGGGCTGTGCATCCCCCAGTCTGAGAAGCGTGTAGAGATGTAGTACTTGGACTTAATCAGACCAACTGGGTGCCCAGTGACGTCAGCTGGTATCATCTCTCTTGATCTCTTGGCTTTGCTCACTTCCCTCCGTGCTGGTGTCATTCTCAGGTGAGCCTTCCCTTCATGAAAGGCCACTGGGACATTTCTTAGCCTCAGCTTTCCAGCTCTTAGGGAATCAGCACATGCATGCACTTGCCATGTGCTCACACACACATGCACGCTGTGTGTGTAAGTATAATATATATTCATATATCGTTTAGTCTTAACATTAGCTCCTTCCTGTTTGCTTCTTGGCGCATCTGGGCCTCTGTTGTAAACAGATCCAATATTTACCAGGTGGCTCCAAAGGTGACATTTGCTTCCAAAAGTTTTGATTCCTCCTTCGTTTGGGTAAGTTTCAGTTCACAAGAGAAGCTGTTTTTGCTGAGCTGGGGCTGCACGAGAGAGGCAGGAACACAGGCCCATCTGTTGGAGATTGGAACATAAATAGCCCCCTTTAAAAATAAATCTCTGCTTTTAACTCTGCAGATAAAAATATCTGAATAAAGGACAATTCTTAATCTCCACATTCTTCCTGCTCGACTCGAGCGTTTCTAAGTGGAGTTTTTTCCCTGCTCCTTTTACAGGTTTCATTTTGGCTTTGATTCTAGCGAGTTTACTGACAGATTACTTCATTTTAACTATATGGCTTTTCTGTCTAGTGGGAGGCATATTTCTAAGTATCATATTTATCAAAAGAGCTCTGCAAAACAAGGGCCAGAATTACTCTTTTGATGGTTCCCTCTCTAACTACAACCACAATAAATTTTGTGAGAAAGAATGCTCAACTGGGGACCTTTTATGTTAAAGCCGAGAACCGGGGTTCAGACATTGTCACTTGCAAACCTCCACCAGTTGGGCTGTTTTTCCCCCCTCCTTCCCCTTCCCTGGGCAGAAAGCTCACATCTGGTCTCACTTGCAAGGCTGGTCCTGGGCTCCCAGGGGCTCCATATTTCCCCCCCTATAACTTTAAATCAGAGGAGCATTTCAGTAAATCACAGGGAACACTTATTTATTGGACATAGTTTTGGGTCTCTTAAAGCATGGAAAATAAATTTAATGGAGCATTCAGAGCATTTCTCCAATCTTTTGAGGGATTACTTGGGGAATTTGTCAACTGCGCCAAGCCCAGCAGCCTGATCCAGAGAGATGGGAAGGAAATGATGGGAGAATCCTCACAGAGCGCCCAGGTGGGTCCTAAATCACCCCAGGAAAGATTAATACAAGGGACCCAGTTGCCAGCCAGGTTGATTGGCAGCTACACCGTTTATTTAATAAACTATCATTTCAGCTGGAGGGTGACTTTAATCTGAATTACATTTTGTTTTTGTCATCCACTCTTGCCAAGTAATTTATGGAATACCGTAGATGCTTCTTAACCTCAAACGGCAAGGCAGGGAGGTAGAGATGGGGGCTGGGGAAAGGAACAAAGAAAAACCTCAAGAGAGCCGAGGGAAGGGAGCAGCTCGGGGGGATATTTATATATTGTTTAGTCTAACATTAGCTCCTTAATATTAGCTCCTGTCCCATTGGTGACAACTTTGAGGTGAATGGGAGCAGGTCAGAGCAGGACAGGTGGAGAGAGGTAAGGATCCTTGGCACTCCACCTCAGACTGGGCAAGGTACATACCTATTGGGGTGCCACCTTCCCAGGGCATGGTGTGGTTTAGGGCTGTTGGGCATCACGCTGGTAATGGCCTCATCTGGGGAAACCTAAAGGAGTTGATTGTTCATAATCAAGGGAGAGGCCTGGATTATGAAGTTTGAATTTCCTGGAGTGGATTGGACTGATGAATGCGTGGAGAAAGGTCTCCACGGGAAAGGCAGTCTTCCCTGTTGGGTGGACAAGCTTCATTTTTGGTGCTCTTGAGTGTGAAATGAGGGGGGGGTGGGCTGGTCCCTCTTCCCTGAGGGAAGTCAGTGGGGAGGAGGATCTGGGGCCTTAGGAACCTGGGGCCTTGATGTTCCAAGTAGGAGAGTGTTTCTTTAGGCGAGGAAGACGGTAGGCTGGCTGCTGATGGCACCTTCAGGAGGATGTGTGTCCCCTTCAGATGGGAGCTGCTGGAAGAACAAAGGGCTGTTCATGAGGGCAGATAGGTTCTGTTTCTGGAGGCAGGGTAACAATGACATTATTGTGGCAGTTATTAGTTTTAGCTGCAACAGCAACCACACCCTTCCCCTGAGGCCTTGTGGGCCTTTACCTTCTGACTTGCCCTCATCTCAGTCTCTCATAAGAAGGAAGAGGTCAGGCATTCTTGTTTTGAGGTTAAGATGGGTGAAGTGAGGCGCGATTGGACTGGAAAAAGGAGCAAAGGTGGATGGAGATGCTTAGGCCCCAGGGGTGCAGCAGGAAGGCAGGGACGCAGCAGGGGGAGGGTCCCCTTTCCAGCTTTCATGCCCTTAGGATGCCCAAGGGCTAGAGAAAATTCTGCTCCAGATGCCAGTTTTCTTGGAGTTTCTGTGATGTCTTGGGGAGAGAAGTTTTCTATTTCCCATCTTCAGATATGAGCTCTTACTACTTTGAGACAGCCTCCCCGCCTCACTTCTTCATTCTTTGCCTTTTCAGCCTGTGCATACCAGTCCTTGCCTGGGACCTACTGGTAGTCATGGATGAAGGGCTGAGAGTGGGGGAACTCTCAGGGATAGCTGAGGGGGTGGCTGCAGGGACAGGGAGGGTTGATGGGGAGGCAGGGTGACCTGAATAGCAGGTGAATGCTGCACCCATTACCACTCTCTCCAGTCTCAAAGTATAGCCCAGTTGGGATCTCTGTCTGCCCCCGACTATCAGTGGGGTAAATTCAGATGGGTTGTTAGGTGTGGCTATGGAGTTTAGAAAATTACAGGGATAGGGCTTCACTGGTCAGCGAGGGCCTAAACCTTGACCTTCATATGACTTCTCACTGCCTTAGCGTGCACTTCTCCTGACAGCTTAAGACCCTCCATGATCTGGCTCCAGCCAAGTTTCAGCCTTCACTCTTGATCCCCATGTCTAAACCCTGGCGCCTCACGGTGTGTCCTGGAAACACACCGGGCTCAGGTTGGCCTTCTCCCTTTTGCTCTTAGTGGACCTTCGATTCCTGTCCATCCTTCCAGTTCTGCACATGATTCAAGGTTGAGATCAAGTTTTATTTTCTCCTAGAGCATGTCCCTGACCACTCTGCTTTCTCTGACCAGCTTCCAGTCCTTGTTACTGTGTAATTAAATACTGCCTCATATTCCCCCCGTTGATTTGCCGTTTCTCTGGACTGTCCCATCTCCTCACTGGTAAGTGAGGGGTGTAGATGGATGACTTCTAAGGTCCTCTGCAGATATAACAACAGTCTAGGACTTTGTGTCTGTTTGTCTTACCTCCCCATTTGGGCTGTCAACTCCTCAAAAGCAGGGACGATATCTTTCCCTCCAGTGACTCCCTCGATATTCCAGCCCAGCGCTTGACCTTGAGTGGGAGTTTCATAAGTACTTTTGTTTCTTCACCTTTTTTGTCTTTTTTCCTACTGTAAATGGGAGAAGTAAGGAGTGCCTTCAGTGCCTTGGAAGGCTCATCCTGTAGTCTGGCCTCAAGAGAAATTGTTTTGCAATTTGTGGATATGGTAAAAACTACCATGATGTCCCAACTCTCCATGTTTCCTGTTGCAGGGGTTTACACTGGGGAGCTCTGCCCAGCGTAGGGAAATGGCTTGTTAAAGGGGGCTGGGGAGCCCCCCCCCCCCACAGCATATACATTTTGTGGCAAAGTAGGAAAAAGTGCTCAGCTTGGTTCACACCTTGGTTTGGCCACTCACTCCCCACAAGACTCAGGCAAGTCACGTGGCCTGCGTGAGTCTGGTTTGCACAACTCTAATATGGCAGTTGCAATACCCGCCCTGCTTATCTCAAAGGGTTGTTGTGGGAATAAAAACATGCGACATGTGAAAATGCTGGGGAGGTGTGAAATGCGGTTACTTAACATCTCCACATAAAAAAAAAAAATCAAAAAAGTAAAACATAAAAACAAAACATAAAAAGGGAGTTTCAAAGGATTTCTCTCCCCCTCTTATTACTGGACAAAGAACCACTTCTTGTTTCTGATGATATTCTGTAGAGACCCCCCCACCCCATCCCCACCAAAAAAAAAAAAAAAAAAAAAAAAAAAAAAAAAAAAAAAAAAAAAAAAAAAACCCAAAAAA